TATATATATATATATATATATATATATATATGAATAATAAGAAATAATAATAATATGAATGAACACATATTAAAGTTAAGGAACATTATTTTAAAATGTACTTATTAAGATAAATTTTCCTTCGAATAATCTTTCCATCATAGTTACTTTACTATTTATATCAATTGTCTAACTGCTATGAATTTTTTGTATCCAAGGCCACGTGAAGGTCAGAATATTGATAGTTTGACCTCAGTTATCATGTCTTGATAAAGAAAGTATGCAATTTCATTTAAAAAAGAAAAAAAAAAAGAAAGAGAAAAATTAATGATCTTGAAATCAGAAGAAATATGACTTTTGAGAAAAATTGTTTTTATCAATAATATTTATCTTATTTGAAAGAAACAATTATTTTCCTCTGACAATTGTTGTTATAAAAAAATAAAATACATACATTTAAAATGATCAAATTAAATAGGACATCCTATATAGAATTGTTGTTTTTAAAAGATATTCAAAAAAATGTTTCCAATGTTAAATATTCTAAAGTTTGTTATAGAATTTGGAATGTATTTAAAATAAATTTGAATATCAAATGAATAAAAAAAAATAATTTCAATTCATATAAATTTATTTTATGCATATTATAATTACTAGATAAAATTATCAACGTTTGTGCAATTTTTAATGTTTGAAATCAATATTGGTTATCGCATGTAAATCGATATCTATTCTATATAAAGAAATCTTAAGCAACATCAAAATAAATCTATTCAGTAAAAGATAATTTAAAATAAAAATTTTATTTCATTTTTCTACAAATTAACTTTGTAGAAAAATTAAATTAGATAAAAGTGCGTTCAATACTTATGCCAAATAACAATATTATATCCAAATATTTTATCAATCTAAAGTTGAACAATTTTGTGTCAATGAGTTTCTAATAAATAATGGTTAAAAATTTCTGAAAGATTTAAAGATAATTAAAAGGATGATCTTTAAAACATATGTTAAAGTTATTGGAATCTTTCAAATTATAATTACAATATATTAAAAATATTTTTGCTAATATTTTGAAAATTAAGATTAAGATGCAGTTATATGTAAAGGAAAAACTTTTTCAAAATATTGACTTTGACTATATATTTCAAGATCATTGAAATCAGAGAGAATTCTTTTTTACAAAATGTTAATATATTCATGGAATGATTTTGAAAAATTTTTTAAAAAATAAGCACAAAAGTTGGTATATAAATACATTAATTGAAGCTTAGTCATTAAATTATAAATAAATTGAACTTTGCATTAGACAAGATTGAGATGTTTCATTTTGTTTCTCCATCTTTATATTTATCTCATTTAATCTAACACAAAATTCAATTTATTTATAGCTTGATAAATAATAAGTTTTAATCGACATTTTTATATGTCATCATAATCAACTTTTTTATTTCTCTTGATCTCAAGAGTTGATCCTTCGAATATATCTCACGAATACATTAATATCCTGTATAACTATCAAAATTAATTTTAGAAATTCTTTTTTCTGAAACAAACATTAAAATACAAATGCATCTATCTAATGCAACTTTTATTGCAAAACATTCAGATATATGTAAAATACCAATATGTAAAAAAATATATAGAAATATGTACAATAAATTAATTTACAAAAAAAAAAAAAGAGTTTTTAATCATAATTTTATCATGATGAATATTGATTGATGAATATTGAATCCTGAGAGGAAATATATTGTATTTATTTTTCGTTTCATAGATTTCTCTTCAGCTTTCCCTGTTGTTTCACTTGTTCCATAATTCACTATATTTACTTACATACTAGCTAATAGCTAGTATTTCATTCAAGTAAGATTCCATAAAAGCGCAATTAGAGAAGATTTTCATTATATGTATACATATAATATATGTACATTTTTTTATAATATTATGTATTATGATACCATAGAAAATTATTACTAAAAAATTATTAAATTAAAAATTAAATAACATCGAAAATTTTAGTTTAGAAAATTAATATTATTTGGAAAATTTATATGTCTTATCTAATATAATGATCGATTCTGAGAAAAAATATAATATAAATATATATATATGAATGCAATCATCGCTTTATTTTATCAAATATGTATTATCATATCATAGTATTATAAAAAATATATATTATATGTATATAATATTATATAAATATATTAATAAAAATATGTTATATAACGTATAAAATAATATAAAGTCAAATCGAAAACAGTTTTATCTATCCTTTTTTATTCGAACTATCTATTTATATTATATTTTTTTCAGAATTTGGTTCATTATTATATTAGACATAAAAATAAAAATTTTTAAGATGTTCAAATGGAACGTGATTCAAAAGAAATTATAAAGAATATAATTATTAAAAATTAAAAGTAAAAATCATCATTTTCGAATCATAGAATTCAGATTGACATTGTTATATCAAAATTATACATAATTAAAATTTTCAATTAATATTTAATTTTTAAAAATGAATGATAATGAAATTTTAAGCGAGAAATTTAAAATATAAATCGATGGCAATTATCAAATTATAGCAACCATTCATTTACATTTGACAATCTTTTAAATAAATTTTTTATTTTATCCTAAATAAAAAGATATATGGATAACATAAAGATCAAATTATAGATCCCCAGTTAATAATTATCAACAGTCGATGTAAAATTTATCAAAATGTCTTCTTGCATGTCTTACATGACTAGATCGTCGCTTCATTTAACACTAGCATAAAGAGTGATGTATTGTGTACTGTGTACTAGTGATAGGATCGATCATATCGCAAGGCTCGAATATTGACAAACAATTATATTTATATTTTATTAAGTATTTTGAAAAAAAAGAAACGCTACTTTCAAGTAGATTCGAAATTCGAATCCTCTATGAATATTGTACTTTATGGACACAGAAATAAAAGATGTACTTCAAAATAGAATCGATCATTGATCGATGAACATCTTACTAGAAATTTTACATTTATTTAAAATTAATTTTCTTAATTATTTTTGAAAATAATTGTTATAAAAGAATTATATGTTATCTTACAAAGTAACATTTTTTTTTTAATTTTCTTAGAATAATGTACATTCTCACATACGTTTTTAACAATGTATATTATCACAAATCGAATGTCGTTTTTCAATAGTTACAAGTAGAAGAATTAAAATAAAATTTTGTTTACTATTTATGCTTTTGAAATTTTTTTATGACTATATTTCAATAAAATATATCTGCTTTCCTAATTAGATTATTTATAAAATTAATATCGAAATTTTCTAATATCGAAATATATATAAATAGATTTTCAAGTACTTATTCTTAAAATTAGGATTATTAAATTTAATTTTACAAATTTTGTCAAAATAACATTCTTCGTGTAAATCACGAAAAATAGTAGCAAGCCTCCATCATATTTTCAAATTTATGGCTATGTTATATTCAATGGAAGAGAGAAAGAAAAATGAATTTCTAATATTTTGATGTTTGCCAATACGAATTCAATAAAAATTATATAAAATCAAAGAATATTTATTTACTACTGATTTATATACTAAATAAAAATACGATCATCGAAAGAATCTTTTAATAATTAAACAACAAACGATTTAAAATTTTTTGAAGATTAATTATGAGCATGATCTCTTATAATATACATCAAGATGAAGATCATTCCCATAAATTATGTATTTATGTATATATATATATAGAGTGGTTCACAAATATTGATTTTGTTTTATATCATTATTATTATTTATTTTCAATTTTCAAATAGAGTTAAATGATTTTAAAAAAGAATATATTATTAGTTTTTTTATAGGTTTTTATAGAAAACGCAATAAAGGACATGTGAAGATCATTAATGTTTTTTTAAGTGGAATTATATATTTTTTTATTGCACCAGTTGATACAACTTGATATTCTCTAGAAAAAAAAAGGATTAATCTACTTGTGTGTAAAAATCATTAGTTCAGAAGATATTTTATCTTGAAATTCATAAAACTTATCACATGAAAGACAAGGAAAACGCGAAGAGATATTTTTATGTTCATATTCTTCTTGTATACATTAATTTGTCTATATAAAACGATGATGATAAATTGAATGATAAAAATATGATTTTACTTTAAAACTTTTTACAAAACTTCAAGTTAAGATATCTTCTAAATTAATGATTTTTTGACGCAAATAGAATTTTTTTAAAAAAATATGAAGTTATGTATCAGTATGATGCAGTCAAAAAACGCATGATCCCATTTAAAAAAAATGTTAATCACTTTCATACGTCCTCTATGCAATCATTTACGAAAGAATTATTAATATCAGAATATATCTTTTCTGAAACCATTCAATTTCGTCTGAATATATCTGAAACATTTTTTGTTGTATGAATGCATAAAAATTGAAATGGTAATATCTGGTAAATTATCCTTTATCTTGAAAATTAAAGCCAACTAACAATCATAAGAAAAAATTATTTAAAATTATTCTTAATGTATTTTAAATTATTAAAATTAGTGTTGTGTGATTTTTATTTCCAATAATTATTCACACTATTATAAAATGAAAAGGTAAACATTTATATATCCAGCAATCACGTAATAAACATACAATAATATGCATTGATATAATAAACGGACTTTTATTTGCCTGAGATTATTGATCAATATCTATGTAATGTACATTTACTCATATTATTAAATCAATTGTTTTTTATATTATCATATATATTAGTAGATACATAAATTTAATTTAAATAATGCACATTTTTTTGTATAATAAACGATTCAAATTAAATAAAAGATTAATCAAAAAAATATTCAGACACATGATCAATTCATATATGTCTATAAATACTCTATATTGTTTATCTAATATTGTTTATATCTATGAATATTGTATATACCAATGATAAAATGAACTATATATGACTTATTATTACAGTAACTTATTATTTTTATATTATGCAAAATCTATGTTTTTTAAATAAATAAAGTTTTTATTAAGTATAAAAAGTGTTCAAATATGTATGTTAGAAAACAATCAATTTAGTAACATTAAAATAAACAAATACACTCGATAATATACATACAATCCAATAAAATTATAATTGTCATTTCAATAGATTAAAAAAAAATTTCCTTTTATAAAATGAGAAAATTCAAACTAGCTAAATGTAGATGGAAGAACAAATAACAGGTGGCTATAATATAGGAGACCAAAAAATCAAAATAAATTTTCTTTTCTTTTTAATAAAATTCTATTTTTAATTAGATATTTAGATATTTAAAAGAATATCTTGTAAAATTTCTATGAAAAAAAGCATTATTATTAGCAACTTTTTTTTAAAATATTAGAATAATATATTAGAATTAATCAGAATAATAAAAGTTTTATGAAAACAAATTATTTCAAAGTAAAGTTAGAAAAGAATAAAATTACTATTAAATAGATACTAGTTTTATTTGATAAAAAAAAATTTTTATTTTTATATTTTATAAATTCTGTTCCAATATTTTCAAGAATTTCTTTTTATTTATTCTTACCAGAAGTCATAATATGAGATTCATATTATAAATTGAACTTTTAAATTAGCATTGTAATTAATTAAGTATATATGTGTATATATATATATACGAAGACATAATGAAATCTATAATCATAAGATCAACAATTAGCAAAGGAAAAATATTTCAAAGAATTTTACTAAGTGCAAAAACGTAATTTTGATACCGATAATTTTATATTACATTTGGAGAAAATAAGTATAAAAATTTTGTGAATTTTCTTATCAAAAAATTAAGATCACTTATCATTTTCAACATTTTCGATATTGTTAATGAAATTTAATAGTCTGAATGATATTTAATAATAATTTTTATTAATTATTAAAATATATAATATATATATTATATATATTTACATTATATATATATATATATATAAGTATATATTAATAATTTTATTAATTTTCTCCTTTTATTTTGATTATAATTGTTTTATTATATTTTAATTTTGACAGTATAATAAATATTCACAATTTTTTTTAAATCAATTAATGTAGTGATGTACAACTGTTTTAAATAAACTCAAAAAATTTTCAATTCAATTCAAACATGAAAAAAATAATGAAAATTTTTTATATATCTATATATCTATCAAAATAATTTATCAATAATGTATTTAATTGATTCAAACATTTTTCTTACTTTTATTTTATTCTTTTCATAAAGGTAATTTTTCTTCAACTCTTCGAAAATAACTCAATAAGGATTCATAATAATAACGAAATATATGTTATTGTCCCCACACACACTAATGCGAAACAGGACTGTTTCAATTGAATTTCAAATCATAATTTGATTGGTTCAATTATATTTTTTCAATTATGTGATTCGAAACTTTCGATTAAATACTTTATTATCATTGTAATCACGATATAATATAATTAAAATACATTAAAATTCAAATGTAATCAAATTATAGCTCACAACTTGAATGTTTTTTTTCTTAATGAGTCGTATTACGTGATTGCTATTATTTTTTCCCTGTAATATACAGATAGATATATTATAATCTTAATACTAGAACAATCAAAATTATTTATTTTATGATTATTGAGAGCATGAAAATATTTTTAACAAAATTAATATTGTAATTTATTTTCATAACATCACTTTAATTACAATCATTCTTATGTAAAATAAATGGTTAGATACTGTAGACAGATTGTTCTAATTTAATATACTGTATTTTCCTCTAACATATATAATATAATACATATAATATGTAAATTATAATTGTATTATAATAATACAATAAAATATTTTAAATAATAGATATATATTTTATTATTTAAATACACATGTTTAAATTTCGAGAGAAATAAGACAAACAAGTATTCCCGTTCAGATACTTTCCTGATTACTTAATTTCTTCATCTTTCATCATCTCATCACTTTCGCTTTAATCAACATTCCTTGATTCCTAATTCCCTAAGTCGTTATTCGATTGCGTTATCTTATACAATCACGAATGAACATGGTAGCTTGATCGAATAAAAAATCCGAATTAAAAATATAATTCTAATAAATGTAATGTACTTCCTAATTAATTATAACATATCGTGGAATAATTCAATATTGTAATAATTCTGCAACAATACTCTGTGGTGCAAAGCAATTCGCAATTGCTATTTCGAGACGGAAATAGCTGGGTCGAGTTCGTCTAAAATTATTCGATTGGATAGAACGAAATCTCGTTTACCGCTTAGTACGCTTCCGTGGCGGTGTCTCTTAACCGCAATCGATCAATCCGGTGTATCGATTCAACGCCATCGATATGGCGGAATCGGAGCGGTTTTACAAAACTCTGTGCTCGTTGGAGACCGTCAGATCCGAGAAAAAGGGTTTTTTCCGGGATTTCAGCGAGGACGTGGCACAAGTCGCCGGGGAACAGTGGATCTCAAAAGTGTTCGGTCGACTGACCACCGACGAGGAACGAGTTCGAACTATTTTCACAGATGGAAAGATAAAGGACGCTGTGCTGGAAACGTTGAATCGCACGGAGATCCTTTATCGCGACAAGGATGCAATGGCGTCTAGAGCGAGAAGGCTCGAAGGATTCGAAGCCTTAGCAGCGGACGAAAAGAGGAAGGCGTTGTTACTGTTCAGTCAAGCCATTCTTCGAGCACCTCTTCCAGGTTTTTCTTTTTTTTTTCTTTTTTGAAAGATAATTAATTAACGACCGATGTTTAATTAAACTTTTATCAACTGCGTGATTAATAGAAGGAAGTAAAGTTAGGTTATGTTCATGTCTGGATTTACGTGTATCTTTGTGGTTTTGTGTATATGTTTCTCTTTATATATCTAGGAACTTTGAATAAAAAGGTTCATTAAATTAATTGTAAATTAATGTTTAATTAGGAAATGTTATCTTTGTTTGAAACAATATAATTTTCTATTCAAGAGTTTGAATTGGAATTAATATGGGATTTTAATTCTTTTGAACGTATTGATTATAATATTTAATAAATTTAATATTATTATTATTATCTTTGTTATTAACAGTTGTATATTTATATTTATATCTATTAATATATATAAGATAAATATTTATACAAAAATCATAATTGTTTTTGCTTCGAGATATATCTGAATATGTATATAATATATATCTTCTTCATATATATATATATATATATGAAAAACACATTTATTCAAATAACATGAATTACAAAATCAGATTCCATAGTATATAAGGTTTTACATTATCAATAAATTAATATTATAAACTATTAAAATTTCTTATTAGAAATAATAAATAAATATATTATCTAATTAGTCTATTAAAAACGACGAATAATCATCTACACAAAAAATGGAAAAAAATTAATACAAAAAATTAAGAAAAAATTTTTGAAGTGTTTAAATAATTTTCTTTTAATTTCATATTATTTTTTTTTCTACAAACATTTGTAAAATTATTGTAAAATTATATTAGACATCGCTTTAATATTAATTTTATTGAAAGATTTATCAATTTATTAATTTTTTTTCTTTACGATTACTTATTGTTACGATTACTTAATGTTAGAATCAATATTGGTATTAGTATACAAATTTTTACTGTCGATATAAATAAAATTTTAAAATAAGTATAATCTTTTTTGTGATTTTCCATATCCAAATATTCGAAATTTATTCGAAAATTTATGATACATTAGACAAGACTCGGATACATTGGAAAACTCCTGTATCAATCTGCCAAAAGTATCGAAATTATTCAGCATCGAATCTTTAAATATTTAACGAATATACATAAAAATCAAAGAAACCAAAAAAAAAATAAAAAAAATCGAACTCTAAGATTATATATATATTATATTTATTGTTTATTATATATTATATTATATTTATTATTATATATATTATATTATATTATTATATTTACTGATATATAAATGTGACAAACAAAATATAGAATATCACGTTATGGTATCTTTAAAATAGGAACAGACATTAATTGCAAATGTATTAATTCTTTCGAAATGTATCTTTTCGAAATGTATCTTTTCGAAATGTATTTTATTTATTTAAAAAATTCAAAACGATCGAGTAAATATCATTTATGATTCCTTTTGATGGCCACAAAGAATCATATACTCTTATGATTGCCATTATATTACCATTATTCTTTGTCAATAAAGGTGCGAATATATTTGAAAGTAAAATTTTCGAAAATTATTTCTTGAAAATACTATCAGACAATGTGATTAATCGTTTCTTAGATATAGATATATGTATATGAAAAATGTAAATGTACATTGTAGAAAAAAGTTGAGTACAAATTTTAAAAGCATATCATTAGAAATCATTAATTTTGGAGTTATCAGATATTTTATTGCAATAAAATATTATTTCTATATTATGTATTTCTTTTTTCATTTCAATGTATATTTCAATACATTTTTTTCATAAAAGTACGCTCTATTTAAATTCAATAGATTTTTATCTATAGAGTTTAATGTATAAGAAATCAATTGCTTTATTAAATATATTAAAGAATCGAAAATTATTGTTAAGAGAAATGAACCGAATATTGTTTAATGTATGCATACTTTTATGGAAAATGGTGTATATTGAAATGGATAAGAGATTAGCGTTAAAAATATC